AGAAATTTAGGTAAATATATCTCAAATGTAAATTGTGTAAATATATCCTGGCATATTCATAAAACCGTGTGCTTGTGTTAGTGGAGGCTTTACAGACAGCTTAAAGGTACATTAGGTCAGCACTAGAGAACAAGAACTCAGTAGATTTATAACAGCACAGCCTGACTACAGGGCCTAATAATCAAAACACCACTCATGAGTAATGGCCTTCCATAGGAATGTACACTTGACACATGAAGACTTCACTACAGTGCTTGAGTAAATATACTTTCCACTACTAATGAGTGCCAAGAAATAACTGTGTAACCTATGTAAATAATAAAATAAAATACACATTAATCATATTCTAAAAAGAAAATGTGGCAACGACTCCACCATTCATCAAAAACTCACCTTCCTGCCGTTCATTCATGAGTGCTAACACAACAAACACTCTGGTACCAGCCACGTTATATTTAGCTGGCTGTAAATACAGTGAAACAAAGCTTCTACTTGGTATCACTGTGTTGCTGCTGCTTTAGGCTGGTCTTCAGCCCACACGCCCACGCATAGCCTTCTACAGAGATCCACTGAAAAGCATAAAATTGTCATTAAAGGCACATTAAAAAGGGATTTGCCTGGCTGATATTTTATTTGCCAGGCCCCTGGGGCTTGCAGTTTGATGAGAGCGGAGATTTATTCAGGCTGAGTAGAGCTGGGAAGGCTATGTGCTTGTTTACTTCTGCTACTGTTTGTGCATGTGCGTGTTTGGCTATAAATATTGCTGGTTTGAGCTGTCTGTGTGATCCCCAGCTCCCTGCTGTGATAACCCACCTGTGCTTACAGTACATGGAGAGGTGATAGTCAGTTGATGGATCTGCTGGTGGCATCGCTATGACTCAGTATGATTCTCTGCCTACAGCAGGCTCTCACCCACGTACAATATGGGCAAGACTCAAGCTAACTCCAATAGCCTATTACTCACTTTTTTGGCAGGAGCAGCTATGGAAACCCAGAGCAAACACTGTCAGTAGCTCAAGAATATGAACACAATAAGGTCTACACATTATCCCAATAAATGCTTCCCTTTGGGTCATATTAAATATGTCAGTCAAATAAGCTTGTTATGTTGCACAGTGAGCACGTTTAAAATGACCATGCATTTAGAATAAAGCTTGCTTATTTCTATCTGTGCCAATCAGGATGCAAAAAGAGTTCTGCAATGTACCCACTGGTAAGGCTAACTGAGTGTGCATCTTTATTACTTTGTGTATTTAACTGTGTAAATGTAGGTGTTGATTTAAGAACAGGAACTGCTTCCCATTGGGATATAAACCCTCATCAAAGTGTCTGCAGCAAACATGCAGGCTGGTGTAGATTTTGTACATAATAAACACTAAAGTGTTTGATGTTGTTGTTTGTTTTTCTAATAGCCCTGCAGACGTTTCAGTGTTTTGTGCCACAATTACAAATCTGTCATTGAATATATTAAGGTCTGATAGAAGTATGGAGAAATAAAAGATATATTTAATTTAAAACCACAGACTTTTCGATTGTTTTCAGTTGGTAAAAACATTAAATAAAATGTCATAATATTCAAATATCTTAAAGCAGTAGTTTGGCATTTTCAAAAGCACACATTCACTTTCTTGACCAGAGTTATGTAGGAAGACTGATAATATATGTACAACATGTACTGTAAATATAAAGCTACAACCAGCAGCTGGTTGGTTGATCTTAGCATAAACAGCTAGTCAAAACTAACAAAATCCACTTACCATAACCTCTTAAACTTATTTAAGTTGTATTTAATAATTATTTACTTTGTTTATTTAATCCACGCATCCCTTTTGTAAAACCACAGCATGTAGGCATTTTGCATTTTGTTTTTTATTTTACCCAAATTAATGATTAGCAAACTTTGGAGGTGCTGGAGGGTGAATTTTATTTCAGTGGGTCAGAGCTATCTGTTTGTTCTGTTTGCAGTCTTTATGCTAGGCTAAGCTAACTAGCACTTGGTGGTAGCTTTACTTTTATTGCACAGATATGAAAGTGGTAGCAGGCTTATACAGCTCTCAGCAAGAAAGTATCTATTTCAAGATTTTTTTTTTCTTTGAATAATATGAAGTTTAACAAGTTTGACATCATAGATTAATCAGGCTACAGAAGTGAAAGCAATGCTTTTATTGTATCAGGCATCCCTAAGCACAAAGACACTAAACAAAATGGTTTAATTTTCTGTATATTCACATATCTGTCAGTGCAATATTACCTGCTGTGAGCCACGCTGCTAACAAGGCTTAAAAATTAGCACAATGCATTTAATTTGTACTACAATAATCTTCTTTCTTTCCACCTGTGTGGATTTAA